AATATCGCCTCGGATTCACTTCTCCGCACGTCCTACCTTCCAGAAAGTGGTCGCTTTTCTGTTCAGAGAGTTGTTGCTATTCTTTTCTTCGATCTCCTGTTGAGTTTGTAGGTGTTCAGAATGGTTTTGATCCCTACCCAGCTGAATTCCTGGGACCAGACGAAATTTAGGTCTCCTACTCCTCTGCCATCTTGCTCCTCCCCCTCATATTTATTTTTATTTATATATTTAGCTCTTTAGATTTTTCACTTCAACATCTAGTTTGATGGCACATAGGCAATTAATCTCTTTTGACTAGTTGACAAGCCTTCTCAATTCTAGATGTGAGAGATAACCAATGGTTTTAATGTCTCCACTTTGTGTTTCTTTAGTTGACTCTTAGGTCTTTCCCAAGTGGAATAGATTGGTACTAACTCTGGGTCAGGAAGGCAAGTTAGCAATACCACTGAAGGACCAGAAGGTGATGCCGGTCTCCGTCCCCACTGCTCTCCCCACAAGGACCTGTGCCAGACACACTTGTCCTCTTGCTGCCTCTGCTCTTGGAGGGGCAGCCTGCAACCCCAAAGGGGTGTTTGGGTGTGGGTGTGTGGGAGGTTTTTCAGGGCCACCAGCTGGTCCCAGCTGGCCACCCCCACCCTACACACACCCCTTGGGGCACTGAGCCCCCCTCTCAGTTGAGCACCACCCTGGGGGGCTGGCCCAGGGTGCAGCCTCAAGTTGCCACTGGTAAGTGCTCCTGCCGCCGCGGCTGCCGCTGCAGGAGGAGGAGGTGAAAAGACACTGAGGGCAGTACTCAGTCTAGAGCATCCCCACACTGCAGCTTCTCCAGGAATCCCTCCAGTGAGGAGGCCGTATATGCTTCATCTTGATCAGTACTTTTTCATGTCTTAAAAATCTTAAGAAACTAATGGTACCATGAATGGAACCCAGTAGAGTGTGACAAATGTCTTTCATGGAAGCAGCTGACCAAGGCATTCCACTCCAGACTGAGGATAGTATTCTTGAGGTGACAGTTCGAGAAAAAGCCCCATACAACAGCAGCCTTTATCTGGGGCACCAAAAGTAGCCTTGAAAAGTGCACCTGGCCCAGGGCGCCTGGGCTGAGTGTAGTTCAGAGACCCCTACCACCACCATGACCACCTACTCTGCCATGTAACAAGACATCTGGGCCAGTTGAACATCTAACTGGTATAGGCCTCCCCCCAATGAGGTGCCTCCTTCCTACACCCTGGGAATGAGAACCAGCTCTAGGCTGACCAAACTCCATCCTTGGGCCCCCTACCAAGGGAGGATCCTCCTCGGCTGCTGAGCAAATTTGTGGACAGTTCCTCTAAAGAGGCACATTTTTTTTTCTCTCCTTCAAAGACCACTCACTCCCCCAAGTGCTGCCCTTGGCTGCCTGCAGCCATTTCGCATTAGTAACCATGGGGACAAATGCACCACTTCCCCAAGGGCTACAGACAACCTGAGATGAAAGGAAATGTGAGAAAACACAAACAAGGTCCATTTCTTTGCCCTCCAGCAAGGTCACCCCAGAATGTATGTAGTAGATTATTTCCTTAGTTTTTCCTTTTATGAAAATTGAGGTGAAATTCAAATAACATAAAATTCACCATTTTAAAGTGTATCATTCAGTGACATTTAGTACATTCACAATGTTGTGCAACCATCATGTCTATGTAGCTCTAAAACATATTTTAATCACCCACAAATTCCTTAGTTTTTTACGTCCTCTTATTTGTTCATTTTTTTTTTTTAGATGTATTTAGAGGGGAATGCGGCAGCGCCACAGAATAATGCTACTGCCTTCAAATACTTTTCCATGGCAGCCAGTAAGGTATGTCTTCAGCCCATTCCTGTAAGCCCAGAAAAACATTTGGCTTTTATTACATGCAGACTGATGCCAAAAAGTTGATTCCAAAGCCCCATGCCCAGCTAATGAGCCTGGGAGTTCTGTGTCCTGTAGAAGAAGAGTATCACTGGCAATGAAATAGGGCGTTGGGATAGGGGGAGACATCACTTATCTTCTTAGTAAATGAAAAATGGCAGCAACATACGCTGCGCTAGCAGGGGGCCAGACAAGTCCCAGCTTCCCCTCCCCCGTGCAGTAGGTGAGGCCATCTAGCTCAGGAAATGGGAAATAAAAGGGACAAGGACAGAGGAAGGGAAAACTCAAACAATGTCTGCGGTAAGTTCAGGACAAAGACAAATAAGAAGTGCCCAGTTTTTTCCAGTTCGATCACCCCCAAAGGCTAGAAACTCCCCTGACCCGAGCAGATCATCAGACAGGGGATGGGGACAAGATGGATGAGAGCATGGCTCTGGAGGCAGAATCCATGGTTTAAATGCCAGCCCTGCAGCACACTGCCTGTGTGGCCATGGGCAAGTCTCTGTGCCTCAATTTCCCCATCTGTCAAATGGGAATATAAGTTTGCCTCCTAATGTTGTTGCCAGGATTTAATAGGTTAATATTTATTGGCCTGGTATTGCAAAGTCCTTAAAGCAATAATTCCTGGCTTACAGTAGACAGAGTGTGTCAGCTATTATCTTGTGAGGTGGCGTGAACCTCAAAGCATATCCAAGACTGAACTAATTGGACCTGTGAGGGAATATAAAAATGGACTAATATGGCTCCTGCCATGAAAATTTTTGTCTTGATTCCTGGGCTCAGTGAGCCTGGCATCTGTCTGATAAAACTTAGTAGACTACTCTGAATCCCTTCGGTACATTAAGAACAACCTCACTGCCACACTCATCAGCCTAATGTTGGGGAATGGCCCTGATAAACTTTCTAACCCTGCACAGTAGGAAGCATTGTGTTGTCTTACAACCCCATACTGCAACACTGGGAGTAAAGATGTGCTCAAATTGGGGAATATTTTCAACTGCTCTCAGTTTTTAAAAGCCCACACGCTGCTTTAGGAGCCTATTTATAAATGACTAGCACCTCAGAGCTGCTACTATTGTGGTGTAAATTACTGAGAAGGCTGGTACTCGGCTCCTCTCCCTTGTAATTTATAAGAAATTTTTGCTCAGCAGGCTGGTTATCTGGAGTACCATTAGATTAGGATAACAAGGGAAAGCCGACTGAAAAGAAGATGGGGTAGTGTAACAGAGGAAGATCTCTTGTAATCTGGCAAGTAACGCTGATTTGTCAGCCCAAAGGAATAATGCCAGGAAGCTGGATGTGTAAATTAACCCAGCTCCCAAGCTATTCAGGGCTGTGTAACCAGCAGGGATCTGAGCTACCTGTGTTCTAAACCTGAGCAACCTTTCTACACAGAGAAAATCTGAAATTATATTTAGGTTAATTATTCTGAATGGCATCAGGTGGACATGACCATATATATTCCTTTATCATCACCTGGATGGTTTATTAGATTTCTCACTTGGGGTCACTACCAAAGTAAAGGGTTTCTGTCTTCCACTCTGCATATCCACACTCTTGTTTTACTACTTAAAAAAAGTAGATACACACACACACACATGTTTTTTTAAATTTTATTATGTTATGTTAATCACCATGCATTACATCATTAGTTTTTGATGTAGTGTTCCATGATTCATTGTTTGCATATAACACCCAGTGCTCCATTCAATATGTGCCCTCTTTTTTTGTTGTTTTTAATTTTTTTATTGTTATGTTAATCCCCATACATTATATCATTAGTTTTAGATGTATTGTTCCATGATTCATTGTTTGCATATAACACCCAGTGCTCCATGCAGTACGTGCCCTCTTTAATACTCAACAGACTAACCCATCCCCCCATCCCCCTCCCCTCTAGAACCCTCAGTTTGTTTCTCAGAGTCCATAGTCTCTCGTGGTTTGTCTCCCCCTCCGATTTCCCCCCCTTCATTTTTCCCTTCCTACTATCTTCTTCTTTTTTTTTTTAACATATAATGTATTATTTGTTTCAGAGGTACAGGTCTGTGATTCAACAGTCTTACACAACTCACAGCACTCACCATAGCACATACCCTCCCCAATGTCTATAACCATACATACGTTTTTAAATTTGTTTTTAAGTCATATCAGTACCAGAATGCAAAGCTACAGTGTTTATCATTTCTTTTATCTTATTTACTCAGAAACATAAGCAGTTATCCTGTTTGGTCCATATTGGACCATATTCTTCTGCTTTTCTCTCTCTCTTTTTTTTTTAAGATTTTATTTATTTATTTGTCAGAGAGAGAGAGAGCACAAGCAGGGGGAGCAGGAGGAAGAGGCAGAGGGAGAAGCAGTTTCCCTGCTGAGCAAGGAGCCTAATGCGGGACTCAATCCCAGGACTCTGGGATCATGACCTGAGCCAAAGGCAGACACCTAACCAACTGAGCCACCCAGAAGTGCCCTTCTGCTTTTCTCTTTCACACCTCTGAACACATCAGGCCCATCCTCCTCTTCACACTTTTGTCATTTTGCTTCCCTTCCCAAAATCCCCCATTCGGAATCCTATCCATCCCCCAGAGGACAGCTTCCTTCCACAAAGCCATCTCTACCCACGTTGGTTCATATAATTTTCCCTCTTCTGTGCTTGCCCTCCATTCACTGTCTGTACTGCTGGAACTTTACTGCTTCTACCTTGTGCCTTCTCTCGTACTATCTGAAGACCATGTCTCCTCAACTAGAGGAGGATGGTGGTCTTAGTACATAGTAGAGGTTCATTAAATGTTTGACAAATAGGGGCGCCTGGGTGGCTCAGTTGGTTAAGCAACTGCCTTCGGCTCAGGTCATGATCCTAGAGTCCTGGGATCGAGTCCCACATCAGGCTCCCTGCTCAGCGGGGGGTCTGCTTCTCCCTCTGACCCTCTTCCCTCTCGTGCTCTCTGTCTCTCATTCTCTCTCTCAAATAAATAAAAAAAATCTTTAAAAAAAAAATGTTTGACAAATAAATGACCATGTGCTCTCTAAGTTCATGTCAGTTAACCTAAGCAAGAGCTCTGAGCCCTGAAGTGGAAGTTATATATGGGGGGATTGCCTATACATATGTTCTGTTTGGCCCAGAAAGTGTTTCAAAGAGTAGGAAATCTCACATGGTGACAGATGGTAGCTACACTTGCAGTGAGCATAGCATAACGTATAGAGAGTTGTCGAATCACTACCCTATACACCTGAAAATAATGTAATACCGTGTGTCAACTACACTGAAGTAACAAAGATTAGGAAATGTCATATAAAAGTCTGGACATCCAGCTTTTCTTGGAAAATGGGAAGAGCTGACCAGATGAGGCTGCTATTCTATGTGTCAACAGCGGCCTGGAGCAGAGAGCGGAGGGGTTGCTGCTGCCTTTAGACGGGGCAGGAACCCTCTCTTTTGTCTCAGTCTCTGTCACTCTATTGCCTGGATTAATGTACTTCTTACAGTACCTGAATGGCTCCTGGAGGTATATCTGAGTTGGCTACTCCTGACCTGAAAGTTACAAATAAGTCCTCTGGTCCTTAAGCAGTTGGTGAGTCAAAAGTTAGAACTTGTACCCTATTTTCTCCCTTCCTCCTTCCCTCTTCTCATTTCCCTTCCCTTCTGTTTGTCTCAAGACCTAAAATGAGGATAGTTGGAAGACAGACTCACCAGACTTTACCACAACCATCACAGCAGGCCTTACCACCCCCAGACCAGACCATCCCAAGAGTCCTAGGACCACAGGTAGATGTAGTCATGGAATAAGCGGGAAGAAGAGAGCAGCTATATTCCACCTGTTTTAAATACAGCTGGACCATCCTTAAGAATTCTTACAGTAGCTGGCCCTTTGGTATACGTAAGCTCAAACTTTGGAGTTTTGAAATTTTTTTTCAACTATGCCTTCTCTAGTTATGTGCTATTCTTGTATCACTGAGAGGTACTCTGGCTGCATCCACAATAACTCCATTTAGGAGGTAAGAAGAAATCTGGAGAGCTTTCAATCAAAACTTGAGTTCCTGAGGAAATACTATAAACCTGTAAAACAAACTTACAGGTCTGCTAATTGACAGGTGGGCCAAATGTGCCTCCTCACTCAGTCATGAAAGAGTGAAATACATGATGGGAGACAAAAAGAAAAGTGAGTTTCCTGGCTGGGAAAGTCACTTTTAAGGTTCATTCTTCATCCTGGATTGATATGCTAAATATCAATATATTTGAACATGCGTTAAATGCTAAAACATGCTAAAAATTCCCTTCCCTAGACTCTTAAGAATACTAATTAGAAAAAGAAATGGTAATTAATTTAACATCAAATGGAAAAGAAGACATTGATGATGTTATAAGCAGTCAAATTTGAATAAAGAAACATATTTGAATAAAGAAACATATGCTAACAGTGCTTTACCGTCCATAATGGCTAGATTGAAATTCACAGAATCTCTAAAATGTTATTTGGCCATTTATATCAACCTCCTTTGACCAAAGCAGGTAACAAGTGTCTGGATAGACTTCCTTCTGGAAAGCTCCTACACATCCTCAAGACCAAGCTCAAATGTCAATCACCTTTGACAACTCAATCCCCTCAGGCCCTAGGCTCATCTAGGCTGTTGATGTCCACAACAACATACAACTAGGTGTCCACAACATTCCTGAATCTGATTCTACTATAGGACTTACCACATTTGACTTGGCTATTTTAAGAGGTGCTACCTAGTTGATCAGAGCCCACTAGCCAGTGAACTCTCTGAGGTAGGGATCATTGTTCATTCATCTTTTAACTTTCACCTCCTACCTCAGTCCAACACTTATTATGGAGTCACACACAAAACAAGCACTAAATAAATGCTGAGTGAAAGAATGGAGAAAAGATTTGACCTTCATTTCCCTCTTTTCTAGTCAAAGGGAGTTATGAAGATCTGAAAGGAGAAACTAGAGAGAGACAGAGTAATTTACCAACTGCCTGATTAACTTGCCTTGATTTAATCCCCTACTGGGTACATTTTAAATATTTAGAATGATTTTGTCATAATTTTCCTCATCATGAATTCTTCTGGGACTTTACTTGGATTTTTAAAACTGTTCCAGGGCAATGCAATTGGTCTTCATGGGCTCGGTCTTCTTTACTTTTATGGAAAAGGAGTTCCTGTGGTAAGTTAAAAAATTTCTTTATCTTTTCAACACATTTTAGCAATTTATAGGGTAAAATTCATGATTGTTGACTAATTAAAAGGAATTAGTCTTTAATATCTGGTTTGCCAAACTATCATATTTGACAATAGAAAATATAATAATCTAGTGGAATATTTGCCAAAGAGACATAGAACAGATCTGTGACAAGAATAACAACCCTAATTATATCTTAGAATTATAGATTCTAAGTAACCTTATTAATCATACAACCTCCGAGGATTTTTTCTGATAGAGAAATTTATCTTCTTAGTGTAACCTCTGCCTTTTGAGTGACCTTCCCCCAATATTTAACAAAACCTGTCAGTGTAGGAAAAGACATAATTTACAGTGAAAATGAGATAATTATTTCCTAATAGAATCCAATATAATAATGAAATAAAATGTATAATACTTCAGATATTATTTTAATTAGCCTAAATCACATAAAGCACTATCTATACTCTTTTTTTTTAAGTGGAAGGCAATTGTTACCATGGAGTTATAAATACACCTTTGAGTAATAGAGTGTAATTATCTTGCAGAATTATGCTGAAGCACTTAAATACTTTCAGAAAGCTGCAGAGAAAGGATGGCCCAATGCACAGTTTCAATTAGGCTTCATGTACTACTGTAAGTGCTACAAATATGGCTGCTATACCAAGAATGACAAATGCATTATTAAGTCTACTCCTTTTTTAACAAAGATCAAATTGTTGGAGTGATTGGTTTAGATAGAATATTGAGGCAGCAATTGGAGGAGGAATTTGAAGACTTAAGAAGAGGACACCAGTTGAGGGAGGAAGCAAGGAGGTACAGTCAGGAAGCTCACTTTTGAAAAGGTTGAATTTGAGGTGCCTTGTGATATCCAATGAGCATACCCAAAAGCAGGTATGAAACTCACAAGAAAAGTCAGACATGAAGAGAAAGATTTGGGAGGCATCAACATAACAGGAGTTAGTTAAAAGTAGCTGAGACACTCAAAAAGAGGGAGAGCATGAGAGGAACAGTGAGCCATGGTCAGAAATCTGGTAGTCCTCAGTGTTGTATTGAAAAGATGGGCATAGAAAGAGTAGTCACAAAAAGACTGAAAAGGCATGGTCAGAGGCATAAGAGGGAAAAGTGATCTTAAGGAAGCCACAGGATATAACTTTGAAGAAAGAATAAATGAATGATCACCCCTGTGAAATGCAATGAGAAGCCTGCTTCTTCAAAACAAAACAAAAACGAACAAACAAATAAGAAAGGGCTGAGAATCCATGAGACTTGTCAATATAGAGAATGTTTGTGCGGTCATTGGACTGGTTGGGGTAGAAGCCAGATATGATGGATTGAGGTATGACTAGAAGGTGAGAAAGTAGATGAGTAAAAATATTCTTGGTAGTTGTGTGCCTTTAAATGGAAGAAGAGAGATGGAACAGTGGCATGAGGCGGACCAAGAACCAAGAGGGAGTTCTTTTTAAGATGACGAGAGACCTGGGTATAATTTTTGTCAAAAAAAAGAGCCAGCCAATGGAGATGGTTTATGTGTCTTGGGAGTGATGAGATAATTGATGAAGAGGTTCTAGAAAAAGTTGGGTGGCATTAGGATCTGATTGCACCCAGATAGGTGGAGGCCTCCTTAGTCTTGATAAAGAGGAGGGATTTCTCACTCTCAAAGACTGGAGAGTTGGAGGAAAGGATGGTGCAGATGTAAATCTGGAGGGAGGAAGAGAGAGGCAAGTGAGAAAAGACAATGTAAGAATTTCCTCAAGGAGCCAGGAGGTACCAAGTTGTCTTCTGAGAGCAAAGGTAGAGTGATTGGGGTAGGAGGTCTCAGAAAGCCATGAAAGTTTGTAATGCTCTGTGGGGATTGAGAGAGGGAGTGCCCAAGATGAGTACCAAGAGATCTGAACACACCTGAGTATCCGAAGTCCTTCCTTTGACATGGAGCTAGGGCAGCAGCAGATTGCATCATTGGCAGGCCCAGGATCTATCAGATTCCTCAAGCCTCTAGAATAAGAGTAATAGTAATGTTTATTAAGCCTTTATGTGTATATACTCATTTAGTCCTCTCAACACGTCTAAGGGTATCCTACAGTTTATAGATGAGCAAACTGAGGCACATCAAGGTCCAACAGCTTGCCCAAGATCACACAGTTAGTGGAACTGGGATTCAAACCCAAGTGATTTGCCTCCAGAGTCTTTGCTCTTAGTGGCACTGTTTCTAAAGGTTATGAAATGTTGAGAGCTGGAAGACAGGTTAAGGACCATCTAGTGAAAGCCTCTCCTTTTACAAATGAAGTGCCTTAGAGGTGCCCAACTCACAAAGGGGTAATGAGAGAGCCAGGACAAGCTGCTGAGAGTGTGCTGATTTTCCACCCTAGCCCTAAATGCCTCTCCTTGCTACAAGCATGAGTTGAGTCTGAGCTGGGCCTCCGGGAGCTGGAGTTCACCGGCTCCAAACTCTGTAATTACGGCTGGGAGGAGCTCTACTGGTCTCCTGGTGTGGAAGGACAAGGATGGTGAGCCACGTCCTGATGTTGTCCGTAGTCCTCAGAGACCACCTCTTGGTCTGCTTTTTATTAACCTTAGGTGTGCTGTATTAAGAAGATATTTTCATGAGACTGAAGAGTCTTTCTTCTTCAGGTTTCTGAATAGGTCAAGAACATAAATTTCCATATTCTTCCTTATAATCAAACTTAACTTCTTTCCCCTCTAAATAGTGGATCTATAACAGCTTGACTTTTGGTTGGTTTTTCTCATCCTACTTTTGGCTAAGATCAAGTGTAAAGTAGTAGGCATCACTGTGACCATTATACCCATAGATTATACATAAAATATAAAACGAATAAGGGGTGGCTCAAAATAATTTTAATTTTCAGCTGGCTCTGGAGTATGGAAGGATTATAAACTTGCCTTCAAATATTTTTACTTGGCATCTCAGAGTGGGCAGCCCCTCGCCATTTATTACCTGGCCGAGATGTACGCGACAGGAACGGGAGTGTTAAGATCATGCAGAACTGCTGTGGAGGTAAATAATGGGATGTTTCTAAAGCATTCTTCATTTATCACAGAGAGGAGGTGATACTGTCCTTAAGTTGTTGGTGCCTTTGATTTTATAGGTATTACCTCTCCCAGTTGAGAGTGTGAACACGGACATTTGCCAGGGCGGGAAAGCTGTGACGTAAACATAACTCGGGCTGGGAAAGGGAAGAAGAGAAATGATCCCTCCTCTCTTGCTTTTGGCTTTTCATCAGGTTCAGAGCTCACCTCAGAATTCAGTTAAGGGGCTCGGTCTCAGCCTTCAGTCAAATGGCCAGGGCATTTTGGCACTTCTAAGTGGAACTGGGAGTTGTGACTTGGGAAATGAAAGGCTTGGTTGAGCCCAGAAAATGTAGCCCACTTCTTCCCAGAAAGCAAGGTCCTTAGGTTCTTGATGATTTGGATGACAACTAAGAAAGTGAATCCTTTCAGCCCGACCCAGTGATGTACTTTTCAAAAGAAAGCTTTTAGGACCTTAATGCCCTTTATTGATTTATTAAACACTTCTGCTGCACCAATATAAATACCTCCATGTTGCAATCTGGCCCCTCTGAAACTCATTTCAAAAGCTGCCAGCTAATAATCTATCTTTAGATTTGCTCCTTTGCCAGCTTCCTAATGAATTATGTATGGCTAACCTCTTTTGGTTACATAAGGGCTATTCAGCTAAGTTGACGCTTGTCCCCACAGAGCTCTGCACACCTCCCTCACGGTTATGTCACCTACACCCTCAGGCACTGTCTTCCCTTCATTCTCTCCTTTCCACATCAGCTGTGGCCTTATAACTCACCCTTGCAGAGCAGCAGTACCCAGAAAGTCCTTTTTTTAAAAAATAGAAGTCGATACATTCTTGTCCTGCCAAATAGCCTCTAAGTCAGGAGAGTTTATTATGTAAATTTAAAATAAGCCTCAGGAAGTTTCAGCTCGAGACCAAAAAATATACACTTGTAATCTTTGTGCCTATGAAAGGTATTATCTCTTCCCCCTAAATAATTTTCAGAAACCATGTTTTAGACCCAAAATCCTTGCCTGACCAGCCAGCAGAAGCTGAAGATTGACTTCATTTATCATTTGCCTGGGATGAAGTATATCGGCTAACTAGTCTGCTTGATTTCTTTTTCCATGTACAGCTTTATAAAGGTGTCTGTGAACTAGGCCACTGGGCTGAGAAATTCCTGACAGCATACTTTGCCTATAAAGATGGTGATATAGATTCTTCTCTTGTTCAGTATGCACTACTTGCAGAAATGGGGTATGAAGTAGCTCAAAGCAATTCAGCATTCATTTTGGAATCTAGTAAGATAAGTTAAAATTCTCTGCAATTCCCCAATCATACATATGCATAAATGACTTTACTACACGGGTATTTTAAGCCTTCCTAATGAAATGTCTCCTTTTTTTTAGAAAAGGCTAAAATTCTTGAAAAAGAGAAGATGTATCCAATGGCACTTCTCCTATGGAATCGAGCTGCCATTCAAGGTACAGAACCTAGATAAAAATGAGCATACACCTGGTCCCTGCCCACTATTAGTCATCGATTTGCTCCAGCTGGGTTCTTGGGCATATAAGCAGAAAGCTGCAGGATATCAATTAGGTGGTCTTTCGAACTGTACCAATCTTAGGGTCAGTCTTTGGTGAGGGGTCATTTCCAGGAATTTCTTTTCTTTGTTATTCTCTAGGTCCCTGGTTTGGTAAACCATAGGAATTTTTCTATGGCTCGGTCTCCATGGCACCAGAGCCGTTGTTTGAAACATCAGTTTTACTCAGGAAACCAGTTTTCTTGTTCTGACTTCAGTCACTCATTTGCTGAGTTTTCTTCTGAACTTATCAGAGAAGTGACCTATGTCTCAATGAATTTATAGGCAAAATTATTCATGGATCTACGACTCACTTGATAGCTCTTTTAAAATACCACATTGATGATTACTACAAACTTCAGATCTTTATTATAACTATTAACATGTTAGCACCAGAAAACAAAACAGAACAAAACCCAGAGTCAAATATCAAGATCCTCTCCCTGTGCCCAGCTTACAGGGTTCACATGTGATGAAGAATATACAGTAACACTGGTGGGAAAGCACTGGCAGGTGGCATTATTAAAAACAAACAGATGCTGCAAAGCTCTCACGATCAGGATTTGGATATGTGAGGAACTCTCATGCAGTAAAAGAGCAATTTTTATTTACGATTAAGTTTCTTAAAAGTGTCTCATGGTAAGGTCGAATCGTTTCTTTCCATACGAAGTGAATGGGATAAAAAATAATTCTCAGCTGACACTGATATGAAGCCGAGAGGAAAAGTCACAGGGGTGCCTTCGCAGATCCAGCTGAGCCGGTGACGGGGCAGCAAGCCATCCATGCGATTTTAGCGAGAAATTCCCTATAGAAGAAAAGTGTGTGTTTTCTAAAATGCAATAAAGACCTTGTTTGGCATAGGGAAACAACACCAATCTCTCAGCTATGGCAAATCAGCTCAATTGCAGCAAATACAGGCTTATTCCAAGCCAGGAAATGTGTGGAAATTGCACCAAGGAAAGGAGACGTTGAAAGCGAGGGGACATTAATATTAAAACAGAATTCGCCAATATAAAAAAAAAGTCAAGCCACTAAAAATAATTATGTGTCACAAGAGAGGTCAGGCATGAATGTCCTTGGAGATGAGGCTGCTGAGTGCCTCACTTAAGGTTAGGAAACGTAATAATGAACGTATCTAATCAGCACTGGTGGTGCTTCTTTCAGCAGTGGCTGTGTGTGAAGAGAGTGCTGACCCATCAGGACTCAGTCACCATGCTGTGACTGTGAAATTCAAGGGGGGAATCCTTCCCACTGTCAAGTGACCCCCTGAGAGCCTGTCAGAGTCACCATATGTCCCCAGTCAGCCCCTTAATTACAGTGGAACTGACTCCTCTGGAAAACCTGTTCATTCACTGCCTTCCAGCTCAGGGAGTTCAGAGGCCCTGCTTACCACTTAAATGCACCAGAAGTCCTGTTCTTTTGTGGTTATGGCCCAGAAAGAATCTTTAGGTCAATGGAGGGCAGCTTTGGGCAAAATTAGAAATGGAGTGGGTTTCTCATTAAGGCTTTAAGGGCTTTTTGCCTCTCAAGGTCTGTCCAGGCCCCTCTCCTGGGTAGCAGTGCTATAAGGACTTGCCCCCAGCTGCCTGTACCTTTTTTTTTTAAGATTTTATTTATTTTTTAGACAGAGAGAGACACAGCGAGAGAGGGAACACAAGCAGGGGGAGTGGGAGAGAGAGAAGCAGGCTCCCCGCCAAGCAGGGAGCCTGATATGGGGCTCAGTCCCAGGACCCTGGGATCATGACCTGAGCCGAAGGCAGACGCTTAACGACTGAGTCACCCAGGTGCCCTGTCTGTACCTTTTGAAGCATCTGGGAAGCAAACCCTCTTAACCAATGTCTTTAGCAGCTTACAAATTTTATGATAATACCTCTACTTAGAAAGAGCTAACGATGGCTCATGGTATTACATTTTAATAGAGGATTCTAGAAGATTAAAAGAACTTCAGTACCTAGAGGAATCAGTTCCAAAGGATTTTAGGCATTGCATTAGTCAAATATGGGGAAAATTTTGGATGGAAGGAGTCCTATAGCCCTTAATTATATACCTCAGACCATACTACACAGGGCACTTCCTCCTTTTCCAAGTCTAGACCGTGCTAGAGGGGTTGGCCACACCTGAGACGGATGTCCTAGATTAGCATTCCCTCATCTTTTCAATTAACATTTTCCTAGTGAATGGAAACATGGACCCCAAAAGGACCCTTAGAGGTCATCCCTAAGTGGCCTTTGAAAGATTAAAGTCTCATATCTTAAAAAGTCACGTGAACTTTTTTCTACTCCTGAATATATCCAAATTTGTTGGAAAGTAAGATCCTAAATTATTTAACATTTGGGAAAAGCATTTTCTAAAAAGTTTCCTACCATGTCTGTCCATTCATTCCATAAATATTTGTCAAGTACCATTTTAGGTCTGGGACGATATCAGTGATCAAGAACTTCAAAGTTCTTGTCCTCCTAAGAGAGAGAAAAAATAAATTCATGAGAGAGAGAGAAAGTAAACAAATAATTAGCGATATGTGCTGTGAAGGAAAGAAAACATGGAGGTGAGATAGGTGAGATAGGTAACTCCTGGGGTGGGGGCTGAGAGGACGCTTTAGACAAGGCAGTCAGAGAAGGCCTCTAGGAGGGAAGTGACATTTGCAGTGAGACCTGGATAATGAGAAACCAAACATGAAGAGTCAGAGGAAGTCCAAACATGACAGGCAGAGGGACATGAAGGATCTCAATGCAGAGGTCCTGAGGCAAGAATGAGCTTGGTGTGTTGAAGGAGTATTATGGAATATTAAGAAAGCTAGAACATATCAAGAAAGTGACATGTGATGAGGCTAGTCAGGGAGGCGGAAGGCAGATGAAGCATGACTGGGAGGTCAGGTAGGGAGTCTGGATATTATTCCAAGTGCAAAGTGAATCACTTAGGGGCTAACAGGGGAATAACAGGATTTGACTTTACATTAAAAAAAAAAAATCATCCTGGGAGGCACCTGGGCAGCTCAGTCAGTTAAACGACCAACTCTTGATTTCAGCTCAGGTTGTAATCTCAGGCCTGCGTGGTGCTCTGCACTCAGAGGGGAGTCTGTTGGAGTTTCTCTCTCTCCCTCTGCTCCTTCCCCTGACTCATGCATGCACGCCCCTGCACAAGCACTCTCTTTCTTCCTCTCTAAAAATAAATAAATAAAACTTTTTAAAAAATCATCCTGGCTATTGTATGGAGAAGATATTGAAAAGTGGAGATAAAAGAACAGTTTGGAGGCTATTGTAGTACTCCAGGCTTGACCTAGGTGGTGAAGGAGACAGCAACAAACAGGTGTGTTTTAGAGGTAGGACCTGCTGAAGGATTCAATAAAAAATGAGGGGGAAATAACTAGGAATAACTAACTTAGATTTATGGCCTGAACAATGGTGCTAGCACTGAGATTGCGATGGAACTGATGATTTGGTTTGATTTGGTTTGAGGGAGGTAGGTAGCATGGTGTTAGGAATCTCTATTGCATGCTTTGAGATCCAAGTAGAGAAATCAAAGAGGCAATTAGAGGAGTTGGGGGCTTGGGGAGAGACAGGACTATAGATGAAATTCAGGAAGAGTGAATATCAAGATTGGCATGGAACTGCTCAAGATCACCTAGAAAAAGAGTTGAGATAGAGGAGAGCAGTAGAGAGAGGAAAGAGAAGAGAAAAGAAGGAAGAGAAGAAAGGGAAAAAAGGAGTCAACTAATAAACCCTTAATGTTCCAATATTTACAAGATGGGTAGAGGAAGAATCAGGCAAGAATTTGGAAAGGAGAGGCCTATGAGACAGGAGGGAAATCAAGAGGATGCAAGGTCCCTGGTGTCAAGAGAGAAAAGTGCGTGGGCAGATAGGTCCAATGACTCCAGGGCTGCATAGAGGTCCAGTAAGATGAGGACAGGGAAGTGACTGGTGGATTTACCTGCATGGAGGTTATCAACCACCTTGAAAGTAGCAGTTTCATGGAGAGGGGCAGAAGCCAGATTGGAGGGGGTTGAAGAGTATGTGGGTAGGAGGTGAAGCTTTGGAGACAGTGAGTATAGAACACACTTTGGAAAAGTGTGAAGGGAGCAGAGAAGTGGGGAGTAGTTAGAAGGGCACACCATGGGATAAAGAGAGGATGTGTTTTTGTTGACAGAAGATACCAAAGTGTGTTTAAATGACTGATGGGACTGATGTAGGAAAGAAGGAGACTTGGGTGATGCAGGAGAGTAGAGCTTCAGGGGTGAAGTTTGAGAACCAAAGGGGTGGGATCCAGTTTCCCCAGAGTTGACCTACCTTCAAAAAATGAATTTAAAATGTAAAATTCCCAATTTTTTATTCTTTAAGAACATTCATACCATATCATGGGAGTTATGCCTGCAATGAAGATAGCTAAAGATGAGTGTTATATTTTATATTCCAGAAGTTATATCTAATCTTGATTCCAAGATTCTGAAGTGTTTTGTTTTTCTTTTTAATGTATATTACCATTAGGTTGAGTTACTAGGGACTGTACATGAATCATCAGAGTTCTTTTTCTTCTCTTTCTAACATTTCTATCAGGCAATGCATTCGCTAGAGTAAAAATTGGAGATTACCATTACTATGGCTACGGGACTAAGAAAGACTACCAGACAGCAGCCACACATTACAGCATTGCAGCCGACAAGTACCACAGCGCACAAGCCATGTTCAACCTGGCCTATATGTACGAACACGGCTTAGGTATCGCAAAGGTAATAATCCAAACCTAGTAATGGCAGCGGTATGGGAAGGGAAAATTTGTAAATGTTTTTAATTTCATTGATGTCATCAGTGTAGAGGAAGGACGGAAAAGACAACATTTGCTGAGTCCCTCCCCCTGTGCCAACACATAAGAGTTACCCTAACATGAACCCTATGAGGAGGAAGTTATTTTCTCCATTTATGCCTGAAGACGTAACTAGCGAGTTGAAATTAATCTAGGCTAATTAGATTCATAACTTCAAGCTTTTTTCAGCAATAGTAGTGGGCCCTGCCCCCACACCCTTCCACCTCCAGGCCTTTTTCCATTAAAATTTCCATTGACACTCAAGCTCTCAATAAACAAGGAGAAAGTGGGAATGAGGTCAGAGCTGGATACCAAGGTGACATTAATCTAAAAATGTCTTATAAATCACCAACTGTGTACATGACGCAGTGCTGAGCACTCTAGGGTATCCTAAGAAAATAGATCTCCATCCTTCAAAGACTACACTTTACTTGAGGAGATAAAGCATATTAAGAAAGAGAGCTGGGGCACCTGGGTGGCTCAGTCATTAAGCATCTGCCTTCGGCTCAGGTCATGATCCCAGGGTCCTGGGATCGAGCCCCGCATCAGGCTCCCTGCTCCGCGGGAGGCCTGCTTCCCCCTCTCCAACTCCCCCTGCTTGTGTTCCCTCTCTCACTGTGTCTCTCTCTGTCAAATAAATAAATAAATAAATCTTTAAAAAAAAGAGAGAGAGAGCTAACATGACAAGGAGATATTGGGTAAATCCCTTAGTAAGTGTAATTAAGGCAGAAGATGGCATGGAGTTCTGACACAGTGAGAAAAGGGTATTAAATATCAATAATGATAGCAATAGCCAGGCATGTGGTGTGTTATATATACTATGCCATTTATTTATTTGTTTATTTTTAAAGATTTTATTTATTCATCTGAGAGAGAGACAGAGAGAGCACAAGCAGGGGGAGAGGCAGAAAGAGGGGGAGAAGCAGACTCCCTGCCGAGTTAGGAGCTCGACACGGGGCTCGATCCCAGGATCTGGAGACCATGACCTGAGCCAAAGGCAGACGCTCAACCATCTGAACCACCCATGCACCCCTATACTATGCCATTTAAATCACACAACCACTCAACGAGGTAAGGAGTCAATGTATGCCTCAGGAAACCAAGAGTGCAGAGAGGTTAAGTCCCATGGCCAATTTTGCAAAACTTATCGGTGGTGGAGTCAGAATTTGAACCCAGGCCTGTCTGACCCCATGTTTTTTGGGGTAAAGAGTGAGCCCTGCACCAAGTCTTTCTTAGTGCTCAAGTATATATTTCATATCAGAGTTTATACTCCCAACTGCATTTTGAGAGCCAAGTAATGAGGGGGTTATCAGCTTTTCTATAATTTCTTCTTTCTTCCAGTTGTGCTAGTAGTTGAGTTATTGATGGGGAATTTCCTATCTGACTGCTAATGGTACACCCTGCAACAACCAGGGGCTTCATATTCAGGCACCGACAATCCAAATCCCTGCCTTCCTGAGCTCCCCCTGTGGCCTGCCTTTTGGCTGATCACTTTTCATCATCCCCAGCACCCTAATCAGTGGAAAGGATCTCAAATCCAAATCCAGTCTGTCTTCCCAATTCTTAGCAGGTACAAGCTTCCTGTGTTTATAAAATGGGATCAAATAGCTAATCAGAAGATTTCTTTGCATGCCATTTAGCCACACCCCACTCCCTTCCAACCTTCATCCACAGCTGTAAAACAGGACAATGATACCTCCCCTCCCCAGGCTTAGAACTAAAACAATAAGCCTTTGTGAAGGGGCTCTGTAGTCAGTGTGTGCAATGACTCGTATTTAGATCACAAGAGAATTTGAGTGGCTGCTAAGTTTCAATAAGATTAAAGCTTTTGTTCATCATACCTCATACAAAATGTAACAATAATGGTGCCAGGAGCAGTATGTGTTTCATGGATAAAAGTGACCCCTCTCTACAGATTAAATTTAAATTAGCTCACCTGTCCTATGTGATTCAAGGACTTGGTCCCCATGACAGCCTTACCCTCACCACAGTGAGACCGTTTTGCCTTAAGACCCTGTGGACAGGGAGGACACAGGGCCAACTGTGCGAAAGAGGACTCTGTCTACGGGAGCCCAGATGGCCCACTGTGTCAGAGGGTCTGGTTTTCCTCCTTGGAGGAAACCTCTCTCCCAGGCACTTTCTTCACAGTGTCAAATAGCAGTTGTCGAGCCATACATTTCAAACACTTAGAAAAAACTTTGAAATTTCTCTCTGGTGCATTTCTGTTCTTGCCTGTCCAGGTCCAGTTAAATCATGGGTAGTTCATTTTGATCAGTATCTCAAAGTCACAGGTGTATTTTTTCCTACAGGAAGTCTCTACATGTAAAAACAAAAACAAAAACCAAAACCGAAGAACAGAGCTGTACTCAGACCCGGACATGGGGATTTTATTCTTAGTTAATGAGGAGTCATTGCTCTTTGTCTTTATTAATTTCTTCTGTTTTGCAATTGGAAAAATAATAACCAAGTACCCAGGGGCCAAGTTTATTAATCTTGCTATCTCATAGTCAAATTAACAAGAAGATACCACCTTTTCTAATCCTTAAAATGAATATGCTGATAATTAAAAGCCGAAAGCTTGTTCCAGCAATGGTTAATGAAAGCAAAGCAATTAGGAGAGCAGACTTTCACAGCATTTAAGTCATCAAGTAATTAAGCATTTCTTCGGCAGGGCACTTCACAGTCCTCTTTATTAGTTAATCCTCAGGCAAACCAGTGGGAAAGATAATAATATCATTACAAGGATTTCTCTGAGTATCGAAAAATGTCTTGTAAACATAAAGCCCTCTGGGAGAGGGCTCTCTGCATCTGCTTCCAAACTACCCTGGTACTCTGCCTTGCTGTTCTTTATTTATTTTACATCAACCGTTGGTAAATCAAGATAAAAATATGGGTCATTGTTGTTCTCATCTGTCTTTAGGAAAGGACATCGGGACTAGGGTGATGTAGGTGACTTATCCTAATGGCTTCACTGAGAAGCATCTCATTCCCTAATTTATGACTTTAAATTAAGCTCAATGAGCTCCTTGACTTAAAATGTGAGCCAAGACTGACTGCATCATTGTTCTGGGAATACAAAATAATGCCTGAGGAAAAACTGGGAGAGGAACTGAACTAATGTAGAAATATAAGCACTCAGCTCACAAGTTGTTGTGAAACTCTATCTCAATTTACGCTTGATTCAAAAGTGCTTCAGAAATTTAACCATAAACAAAACATGTTGCCCATCCCCTCCTGCCCATTCCTTCTGTCTGTTTCCTGGCTCAGACCAGAGTTTCTACTCATGTCGGCTTATTGTAAAGGCTTCTCAGTGGTCTCCCATTCTAGTGTTCTTCCTTTAAATCTGCAGCAGAAAAAGCCATGTCTGCCAAAGACTTTAATCCCCAATTCACAGGGAGGACTTGTTGCTGAGATGTGTCTCTTAGTCAGAGACTACATTTCCTAGCTCCCTTTCATCCATGTGACTAGTTCTTACCAAAGGGATGGATGTAAAAGTGAAGGGTGTCATCTCTGGGCTAAGGCAGCTAAGAAGTAGATGGAGATTCTCCTTAGTCTCTTTGCCCTTCCATTGGTTGAATGCAGGATACATAGCGGCTTGAAGGGATGGCAGAACCACATGGTGGAAGAAGTTTGGGTCCCTCAGTGACCATGTGAAGAAAATTCATCTCCAACCAGGAATACCCATGTTGAAATTTGGGGGTTTACTTGTTACAGATGTTAGGGCATTACCTTAGTTAATACATAATCCATCTAACAAAGCACTACCAGGTCCAGGTTATTTTTGATAAAATACAAATCTGGAATTTTTACTCCTCCTCACTCTTCCCAAAACCATGCATATACACAAAAAAACACAAGCAAACAAACACAAAAATAAAAACATCTTATTGACTTTTTATTGCCTAATGAAGTCCCGACTTCTTACTCTGGCATTCAAAACCCTCCTTGACCTAACCTACCTACTTCCCTATGTATCTTCCAGACTTCTTTTCCTTACCTGCCCTGCCGACCCCCAACCACAGACCTTGAACTAAAGCCTCCTGACCTTTGGTCATATCAGCCCATTTGCTGGAATGATCTCCTCTCACAGTTTTGACCATTGAAGACCCCTCCCTGCATTTTTCAAAGAATAGTTCCCATATCATCTGCTCCATGAACCCCTCAATGAGCCCCCAGATTTGAAAGATATCTGCATCTGCTTCCAAACTACCCTGGTACTCTGCCTTGCTGTTCTTTATTTTTTCACTCAAATATTTATCAAGTGCTTGTTTTGTGTCAGGAGGCACTGTGCCTTGTTCTAGGCATACAAGAACAAGACAACCTTCAAAGAGCTCATAGTCTTCTATAGAAGAAGAGACATGTCCTAAAATGGCACTAGTGCAAGATCACAGAAGTAAAGTGCTGTGAAAATGTGAACGAGGGAACAATGAATTCAGGTGGATGGATCAGTACCATTGGGTCCTATTCTAAAGTGATTTTATAACATGAAGCATAAGAAACACATGACAATTTTTGTAGTGGAAGAAAGCATGTATATTTTAAGATAATGACTAAGAATCTATCCTAAATTAAGACAAAAGGTGGGGGAAAATTAGCCTTTGGAGATGAGTTTCCAGTGTATATAGTTAGATCTACCAGATAACACGTTTTTGGGATCCTACAGAGAAAACAAAAAACACACCCCCTGAATAAATTATAAATAGATCTGTCACAAATAAAAGTAATTATGGCACGAAGCATTTTCATTTCTCATTTGTCTGGTCTGACTGCTTATGGAGTGTTAGAGCTGAAGCTTTAAATACCAGAATAGAATTATTTTCTGGAAAGGACAAGTTCAAGTTAGATATTTAGAATGGCCTTCTAAGAAATATGACAAGACAGAACACACAGCTCTTAGAAATGGCCATGACTTCTCTTGAAATAAATGCCTTATCACCTAATAATCAGAAGTGTGCAAAACAAAAAAATTATATGTAGGGCGCCTGGGTGGCTCAGTTGGTTGGGCGACTGCCTTCGGCTCAGGTCATGATCCTGGAGTCCCGGGATCGAGTCCCGCATCGGGCTCCCTGCTCGGCAGGGAGTCTGCTTCTCCCTCTGACCCTCCTCCCTCTCATGCTCTCTGTCTCTCATTCTCTCTCTCTCAAATAAATAAATAAAATCTTTAAAAAAAAATTATATGTAGATAACTTTATTACAGAAAAAAACCTACAAATAAACAAACTTCTCCAAAATAGAAGGCATGTTCTATAAACCATCGTGTGGTAGCATACCTTTGCATTATGTATTCTATGGCCCCGTGGTTAAGTGAGCAGGCTAGAAGGAGACTACCTGGATTTGAATCTCAGCTCTGCCACTCACAAGTCCCATGAATTTAGGTAAATGACTTAACCTCTCTGTGCCTCAGTTTCTTCACCTTTACAGTAGAGTTAATATCATCTGCCCTATATAATTGTCATGAGGTTTAAATAAATGACAGTGGTGACTGGCACACAGTAGAAGTATTTAATAATGGCATTATCCATTAATATGAAATACTATGCAACTATTAAAAATAAAAATATTATAGACAAAGGAGTATCTTAGGACATGGTATATTGTTTGAAATATATTGTTAAGAAAGCAAAAGACAAAATATTATGCAAAGTGAAAAATTCCTAAGTTAAAAGTATGTGTGTCTATGAATCTATATAAAAATGCTGGAATGCTACAAGGTTGTATATAAAATATGATCAGTACTTATCTCTGTACAGTGAAATTGTAGGTGGGCTTTTAATATTTGTTCATCTCTATGTTTTCAAAGTTTTCTCCTATTAGAATATGGTATATTTATAGTAAGAAAGCAAGATTAAATTATTCAAAAAATGACCTCTGTCCCCATATAAGAAATTTTTGATGACACCCAAAGATTCAGGGCTGGAAAATTCCCACATCATGTAATTGAACGATTTTCATAAACCAGAGAATTGCTGGAGATTTCTGTATTTTTGAATTATAAGAAGCTCTTTTTTTTTTTAAAGATTTTTATTTTTATTTATTTTTATTTATTATTGAGAGAGAGAGAGAATGATAGAGAGAGAGCATGAGAGGGAGGAGGGTCAGAGGGAGAAGCAGGCTCCCTGCTTAGCAGGGAGCCCAATGCGGGACTCGATCCCGGGACTCCAGGATCATGACCTGAGCCGAAGGCAGTCGCTTAACCAACTGAGCCACCCAGGCGCCCCTATAAGAAGCTCTTTTGAACATGTGAACATTGGGTAGTACTTTGGCACACGTGATATTTTAGTTGGAAACACATTATTTAAGAAGAGTCTGCAGATCCGTTTACATCATCTCCTCAGTCAGTGAATTTAAAGCAAAATAAGCTCAAGTGTACCACAGGAAAGTTAAATATCAGTGGATTGGGTGTGCAGTGGACTTATTGAATGAACCTCAGCCATCATCAAAACACTTTTGAAAAGAAATTTTTTGTTTGAAAACTTGGATTTTTTTTTTTCCCAAGTAAGGATCAAAGAACAAGGAGTCTTTTCTACAGCCTACTAATAAAATTTCTTCTATATGAGTTGTCCTAATTAGCCTGTGGGTTCAGGAATTTCTCTGGGAATTTTAAAGAACGACTTTCATGTCCGGCCCCACCCCCACTGAGAATTGTGAGGCCCCTGGGGCAAGGAGTGAGCCCATTCCACTTTAATGGTACTTCTTGCTAGTTTTTATTATAAGCTAAGCAACTGAATTGTGATGCTTGTGCCTCAAGAAATAAATTAATAACTATTGCCTGCTTCAAATGAGAATGAATGCCTGAGATACTGACAAAGCCTGCTGTTCCCTGGATGCCCTATTAAAGTCAATATGCCTTTCATGTGTGGGGGTGACTCAGCCCTTATAATCTGCAGCGTGCTTTCAAATGAACACCCACTGAATTTGTTGGAATTAGAGACACAAATTAGAGTTTTTACAGCATCCATTTTCTCTGTCGCCAGGAAGATTTGTTCAGAATAGTCTCCTGCATTTTAAGTTTTTAAGCAAGAACATTCCTCTTTCTCCAACAAATCAATTTATGGGACCACAAAGCTTTGGAAAAAATTTAAGAAATGACCAGGAGAACACAGCTGAGAGAGAATACCACCCAAAAAGTGGGTTTAGCAGGGGCCACAGGGGTTCACAACAATTGCATTCTGTGTAATGGACGTTTGGGAGACATAGAAGAAAGACAAAGAGAGACAGGATAACCATGGTTTGTGAAAAATCTCTCTTCTTATCCACTGGAAAATAATCCAAAGGCACCCAGCTAAGTACAATTCTGGGACTGGCCCAAGGCCCTTCAACCTTTAAAAGCAACTCTATTTAGCTTTTTCATTACTTCGTTTGGGAAAACAAGCACAAATAAAGCAAACAAATAAAAACAAAGTGTAAGTAGGTGAAAATTAAAGAAAAAAATTTTTTTATCTGCCATGGCATAAATTAGTGGGGGTAAAAAGTCCCTAGAAATACAGTATGTCATTTGAGGAATAAAATTCCAGCCTGAGAACTAAAATAGTTTATGCATTCATTCTGTAAGTATTATCAGAGACCAGCTATGTATTCGGCACTTCACTGAGCACTGGGAATTGAGCGGCTAACGGGGTGTCCAGGTCCTTGAGGACAAGGACAAATGAAGAAACAAATTCTGGAACTTCAGGTCTGATAAGTACTATGAAGAAAACTAGGAATCTCACACGCTTTTTAGTATCTGTATTGTTATTTGTTTGGGGAGCTGTACTGTTGGTATCTAGGTTCTGCCTCTTTAAGAGGAATCATATCTAAGGTCTGGTCCAGCGGTATTCAAGAAAGCTTTTTGTGTTAGTTTCTGACAGCTGCTGCAACAAATCACCACAAATGTAGTGGCTTAAGACAACTCACATTATCTCACAGTTTCTGTGGGTCAGAAGTCTGGGTGAGCTTGACCGGTCCTCTGTGTAGGGCCTCCCAGGCTAAAATCAATCTGTGTTCTTTCCTGGGAGCTTTGGGGAATCACTTCCAGGCTCCCTCGGATTGTTGGGCACATTCAGTTTTCTGTGCTTATCGGACTGAGGGTCCCATTTCCTTGCTGGCTGCCCGCATTCCTTCTCATTCTTCTCAAGAGGCCCCTCCAGCCATGGCGAGTGGAGCCCTTCCCAAGCCTTCTGCCATATCTGACTTTCATCTTCTGCCCTCAGCCATGAGAAAACTGTATTTAAGGGCTCGCGGGATTCTATGGAGTCCGCGTAGGTAATCCAGGATCATCTCTCTGTCTTAAGGTCTGTAACCTTAATGACATTTTCGAAGTCCCCTTTGCCATGTAACATAACATTCACAGGTTCCAAGGGTTAGGGGCTGAATGAATATCTTGGTGGGAATGGAGGGGGCCTACCAAAGATAAATAATGATATTTCAAGCAATGGCTTTCATTGAATTACCCCTAAAGAATCTGCACCTAATGAGTAGGGGCTGTTTTTCTATCTCTAGGACATTCACTTGGCCAGGAGATTATATGATATGGCTGCTCAAACGAGTCCGGATGCTCACGTACCTGTTTTCTTCGCCCTCGTGAAACTGGAAACCGTGCATTTGCTCCAAGATATCCTGTTTTTTAATGTAAGTTTGTCTCAAATAGGTCCCAAATCTCTGAAAACAACAATGAACAACTTGGATGGTGGGATGGGAGGTGATGATGGCTCTGGAGAGGGTGGAAGGCTTGGATTTTTTTTGACAGAATGTCTCTCCCAGCAGTTCACCATGAGATGGAAATGGATGAAATTGGACAACACCCTTGTGCCATACTGGGATTTATTTGTCATTGGCCTAATTGTTGCTGTGCTGATTTTCTTGCTTAGAAATCACTACGGGTAGGATCGGGACCATAGGAAAACCTGCTCATGGCAACATTTTACTTCAAGTTATCCTCGCTAAATAAAGAATTCCCTCGTCAAACTCAAGAGTCTGCTGCAGATTTCCCACACAGGCCTGTGATGGAAAATGGACAAAGCTTGGGACCTGTCGTCAGAAACCATTTCAGACTTCCTGCTTAGTTGTGGTGACCACTTGTGGCGGAGTGAGGTGCTGGAGACTGGTCACCAGAGGTTTCCTTATAAACTTATTGTCTTGGAGATCTAGTCCCTAGTTAGGATAAAGGCCACCCATTTTCATGTTGTTATAACAGCCTTTCCCCTCTCAAGAGGACAAATGGGTTTCTTGGCTCTTTCATACATACAGAAGTGGGGAGGAGGGGGAGTTTTGGAAGGGCAGGAACACAGATCCCTCAGAATCTGATAAAGACACAAATTTACAAATAGACCCTTCATCTTGCAGGAATGATCCTGTGATTCTGTGAACCACATTGTAGCTCTGATGAGTGAAAGTTCGTTGTGGCATGCTGTGCTGGGGGATGGACTCACACTCATCACTGGGGGACCCTCTATCAAAGCTCCCCTTAGCACTTGTGCAGTGAACAGCACCACCTGGGTCTGTCCAGCATTGTACCCCTCTCTACCATCCCTCCCTGTTCTCCCTGGGCAATCCCCTCTGGAGTACCCATAGAGGGAGAGGACAGAGCTGAAGAGTCTGGTTCCCTGTCTCCTGTGGCAGGGAGAGCAAGGACCTGGGGCTGGGGGTAGGGTGGCCAAGGAGAGAGCAGGAGGCCCAGGACTCCTGTCAAGGGTCAGGCTTGAATCTCAGCTCCATAGCTCATGAGCTATTTGACATCTCTGAGCCTCAGTCTCCTGATCTGCAAAATGGGAAGATCTCAGTGAGCTGGTACAAGGATTAATGGGATAATGTATGTTAAGGAACTATCACAGGGTCTGGTGTTCTAGAATGAACTCCACAAATGGTAACTTCTAATACTCTTTAAAAGCTCATGGAAAATTGACTGGAATATGGGGACAGCTGAGTTGATAACAATCTGTGTGGCTTCAGTGCCCTGCAGTTAGTTCTCCAGCCAAAATCCTGGATGTTAGGAAAAAAGTCATGCTCGCCTACTTGAAAATCCAACCCAGGGACGGGAAAAGAGTTAATTAATAATGTTCATTGTAACCAGAAAGTAGAATGAAATGGTGAGAGAATACTGAATTTAGAACCAAACAACTTGGATTTGAGGTCCAGCTCTGTCCCTCAGTAGCTCTATGTATGACTTTGGGCACAATTTCTCTAAACCTCAGTTTTTCCCCCATAAAATGGAATTACTTCCTACCTCACTGGAGAATTGTGAGGCTTAACGTAAGTCTAACTTCAAAAATGCTTTATAAACATTGCATGTACAAATACTAGCCATAGTCATTTATTTGACCATGAACTAATCCACACCTTTCTGAGGTCCAAGTGTTTAGAATTTCCTGGACAGACTCTCTCACTTACTGGAGATTTCCACTTCCTTTTTTTTTTCCTTTTCAAATTTCTTTTTAAATTCTAGTTAACATGCAGTGGAATATTATTTCAGGAGTATAATTCAGTGATTCCTCACTTATATATAACACCCCTGCTCATCACAAGTGCCCTCCTTAATATCCATCACCCATGTAGCCCATCCCCCACCCACCTCCCTCCATCAACCCTGTTTGTTCTCTATAGTTAAGAGTCTCATGGTTTTTTCCCCTCTCTTTTTAACTCCTTCCCATATGTTCATCTGTTTTGTTTCCTAAATTCCACATATGAGTGAAATCATATGGTATTTGTCTTTCTCTGACTGACTTATTCACTTAGCATAATACCCTCTAGCTCCATCCATGTCGTTGCAAATGGCAAGATTTCATTCTTTTTGATGGCTGGGCAATATTCCATTATATATATATATATCTCCCACATCTTCTTTATCCATTCATCAGTCGATGGACATTTGGGCTCTTTCCATAATTTGGCTACCGTGAATAGAGTTCCACTTCTGATGGAACTTTCATTTACAAACATGCAAAGAAGGAACAGGCATCCAAACCTCGGGTCAGGGCCTAACAGGCCAGTGGTGAATTACATCCCACAGGTGTCTGCAGTGGGAGCACGTCAGAGGAGGGGATAAGGACAAAGACGGGAGTATGGAAAGCAAATGGGGGGGTCCTGGCTCAAAGTCTGGATGAAGATTGAGTTTCTTAGAGGTAAAGCTTGTGGAAAGAGCTGCCGGCAGGGAAGAAAGGGCGACTCTGTGGCTTGCTGTGTAGTGCAGAGCACTGTCAGAAATACAGGAGCAAGGGCAGTGTGAGCTCATCAATTTCCCATTTCTGCTAATTGTGCCAAGTAAATGTGGCAAAGCCGTTAAAAGCATAAGCGGCTTAGGGTGTTTGAATCATTCAAGTGTCCATTTCTGGGCCTCCTGTCTGGAGCTGCTGCAGAGGCAGCCGGTGCTCTCAGGGGCCTGCCGCACCCATGCACCTGCCTGACGACTGGCCAAGGGCGAAGGAGCCTCCCGCCTGTCCGCCTCTTCTACCTTCGGCTTATGACAATACCACCTCCTCTACCGGCACACAGAGCCCCTATTCCTTCTGCTTCTGATAGCTTTAAACAAAAACTGATAGCTTCCTTGACTACAAGCTTTTTGTTTTTTTAAATCCAGTTTTCTTTGTAACTCCCTTTTCTCTCTACATTTCCTTCCCTGGTTCTTTATTAAAGCAGAGTATGTATTCAAGTCAATAAATCTTTTAAAAGTCAAGTATAATTATTTTTTTTTTCTAGAACAAGGGTCCAGAGTCATTTTATGAGGAGCATGCTTTGGGAATTCTGTGCTTTCCCCAACATCTTAAGTGGTGGGTTTTAACAGCTGCGGCCATGAGTGGCTGGGAAAAATCAAGAAGAGAATAAAGTCCCGCGGGAAGCAGAGGCAGATGGTACGGCTTGCTGCAGGCCTTCTCTGGGAATCCCAGGAAGCACTGAGAAGAGGGTGTGGAGGCTGAGAAGAGGAAAGAGGAACTCTGTGGAACACCCGCTATGTGTCAGACTCTTTTTCTCATTCCGTCTTCATGATGGGGCTGGAAGTAGATATAACTACCTCTGTCTCCCACAGGAGGAAACCAAGGCTAGGAGAAGCTATGTAACTTGTTAAGATCACACAACAATGTGATCACATCATAATAAATAATGAAGCTAGAATTTGAGTCCAGACCCGACTCCAAAATTCTTTCCTCCATATTGTTGTTCCAGTTATTTCTTGCTGCTTAACAAACTACTCAGACCTCAGTGGCTTACCACAACCATCATTATCTCTCAGGCATTTTAGGCAGGGAGTGGCTGTGTGATTCTTCTATTCACTTGTTGGTGTCCAGCTTGTGGACAGGCTGTTCTAGAGAGTCCAAGACATTTTTAGATCCCTGGCACCTTGGTAAGGTGGCTGAAAGGCCGGACTTAGCTGTGAGGGATGACCAGAGTGCCTATAGGTCATGATCTCTTCAACATAATGGACAGAGTCATGGGACCCAGGCAGAAGCTGCAGGTTTCCTAAGACCAAGCCTCAGAAAATTCCAGAATATCATTTCTGCCACATTCTATTGGCCAAGCATTAGACTCCATCTCTCAATGGAAGTAGCAACAAAGAATTTGTAACCATATTTAACCTACCTACTATAAATAGACAATCTAAAAACCTACCAAGGGGGAAAAAACACCTACCAAGGGTTATATAAACTCACTGAGGCACTGAGCTACTTATCTTGGAAGACAGGATTGTCTGAGAGGTAGTATTCTTCTTCCATTGTATAGACATGCCCCAATGATCTGATTACTCTTCAGAATAGTGTGACCATTAGCAGAGGATACTTAAAAGTAGAATCATAGTATTTTGATACTAACTGATGAATCGGTTCTGTCTCAAAAAGAAATGTAGATGCAAGCAAAGTACATGGATTGGTAAATGTAAGGAGTATGTTGAAAGAACTGAATGTAGCAAGTAGACCCCTGAGTGAGGAGGAAGGGAGTAGGGGAAATGGTCAGTTTGGGCTCTTTCCTCCCCTATCCCCAGCCTCCCTGCTTCTGGCTCCTCCATGGTAGAGGGAGTTGGGGTGGCAAGAGATGTGGCTTAAGAACTAAGACAGATTATGCTAAACCTGCCCAGAAGAAATCCTGCAAAACGTGCTCACTGAGCATGGAAGTTCACCATGTCAGTTCCCATGGAGCAGTTTTGTGGCTTTCTTGGGGATTCCACTGCTGGGAACCTTTTTTTGTTTGGGAGACCTGAGAGCAAAGCCTGAGACAAGGATTTGTGTTTTGACAATTCAGTTGGAAGGTGATCCTAGAACTCAGAGTGAGGGAGTGAGAAGGATGAAAAGCCATAAAAAAAGTGCATTACTGAGGTCATTGCTGTGGGCAATAGGGGTGGGTCCTACCAAGATCTGAAAAGTTTACACTCTATCTCCCAGAATTGTCTGTCTGAAGATGAGAGGCCCAGGCCCTTGCCCATCATCTACCTCCTCCATCTGAGGTTTGCTCTGGGCTGCAATAACTACCCCTCATCCCTTCCAGGCTATTTCGCAGAGGCTTTGGGGAAGTCTCTGAGATAGAACAAAGACCTGTATCTTCCCTCAACATTGGGCACAGCTAGCAGGAGTCTGAGGTTGCAGGAAAAGGCCCTCCATGGTTATAACTGAAATCAGAGCTGACCAGGAAAAGCATCTGCTTCATGAGTGAGGCCTCCTGGGCCCAAAATCCCTGCTCATCCATCAGTCCATCCAATAGACTCTCTGGTGGGACTCGGTACCTATGGTAGGCTGAATAATGGCCCCCCAAGGATATCCATGTCCTAATCCCTGGAACCTATAAATGTGACCTTCTATGTCAAAAACAAAACTTTGCAGAAGTGATCACATTATGGATTATTGAGATGGGGAGATTATCCTTGATTATCCAGGGAGACCTAAAAATCCAATCACAAATATCCTTATAAGAGAGAGGCAGAGGAGACTTGACACAGACAGAAGAGGAGGAGGCAATGTGACCAGAGAGATTGGAGTGATGCAGCCACAAGCCAAGGAATGCCCGCAGCCACCAGAAGCCAGAAGAGGCAAGGGATGGATTCTCCCCTAGAGCATATGGAGGGAATGTGGTCTGGCCAACACCCTGATTTCAGACTTCTGACCTCAAGAACTGTGAAGGAATGAATACCTGTCATTTTAAGCCACCAATCTTGGGGTATTTTTATATAATTCCAGGAAACTAATGCAGTATCCCCTCTCCAGGTAGCTCTAGGCTGGCCCCTATCCTTGTGTCCTTTATCTGGTCCCTGTGGAACACACATTCTTGCCCCTGCTCTTCATGGAAGTGCCACCAGGTCTAAGGACAGCCCATTAGAGGCGGATGCATGAAAGCGGAATCATGGTATTTGATACTAGCTCACAAACAGTCTCTGTATCAAAAGGAAATGCAGATGCAAGAAAGTAAATAGACTAACAAATATAAGAAGTATGTTAAAAAAAAAAAAAAAAAAGAAGTATGTTGAAAGAACTGAGTGCAGTCAGTAGGTTGTGACCTGCCTGCATTAGCCTGGGACCCGAGTGAGGAGGAAGGGAATGCCCTTCTTACTCTGTTGGTCTCATTCTCTCTCTCCCCTCCGGCAGGTAGCCCCGGCCTCTCCCCACTGGGCATCTGTCACACTCCAGTTCACTCTCCCCCACACTCCAGGCATGGCAGATCAAGTTCTGCACGCAGCTTCCTTTGTGCCCCTCTCCTTTGGTTACAGTTGATGGCTGAGCTCCCTCTCTCCATCCCCCTTGGGAAATACAACAGCAATCAGAAAACTCCCTGCAAGAAAAAGTTGCCTCCACCATCCTGCTTCAGGCTTCAAATACCCCAGCCCCCACTCTCCACTGCTTTGCAAATCCATAGAGAACACCTAGGCCCTCAGCTTAGAAAAGTGGCTCCTTTGGTCAATTCTCAGCCTCTGGGCCTCAACACAAATCTAGGCACCGAGAGTCCTGTTTTATCACCCAGAAATCCCCACCTGACAATGTCATTACTGAGAAGTGTGCTCCAAGCCAGGAACAAGCAAACCAAAAGCTCCAACTCTAAGTGGCAGGAACTACTGCTGTGGGCCCATCAAGCCACTTACCCCGCGGGCCTTGCCAGTTTCTTTCTCAGGAGAGTACAAAGGTTACAAGAGTCTACAATCCCAAAGCCACGGAAATGTCAATGCAGTGCACATATGCAGCTTCAGAGCCAAGATGGACTCCCTACCTCTGGCAGGTTAGAAAACGCCCCTTCAGTTTGTAATGGGTTCATAAAAATAGTCTTGGCCAACTCTATTCCACAGCCACAAAAAAACACCTGCAAAGAAAATGCAGGAGGGGTGGAGACATATATCTTGGATTTCCCATTAAATTTTGCTCCCTGTGGGAGGTTTTCCCACCACTTCTATCTTCCCTTCATTCCTTACTCGGCCAGAATGAATTCTTTCCCCATGGAGTATTTTGCTTGTATATGATTAATATGGAAAAACTATTTACCT